CATCTTAAAAAATTGAATACCATTTTTTGTCACATAAATTATGTTTGCCAATAAGACTAGATTTCACGTCGATTTAAAGAGATTTCCAAATCTTTTATAACTTCTAAACTGCATCAATGCTCAAAGATCAAATGTTATAGTTTAAGACAGAAGTTCCCAATTTTTTTGAACTGTGGAAGCCGAAATGATTGAACTTTTTTGACGAAACCTTAAGGCTTAGTGAATGCTCTAAGATCAAATATTACAGTTTAGGACAGAAGTTCACAATTTTTTTGAACTGTGGAAGCCGAAATGATTGAACTTTTTTGACGGAACCTTAAGGCTTAGTGAATGCTCTAAGATCAAATATTACAGTTTAGGACAGAAGTTCACAATTTTATGGAACTGTGGAAGCCGAAATGAATAAAGGCTTAGTGAATAAATTTCTTCGGCAATTGGGAACATATTAATTAACGATAAACAATTACTTTGAAAATATCTTCGAAATGAATGAAGAATGAAATTTTTTCATCATATCGTTTAACAATATCATTAAATTGGTCGATTTCTTAACTTTATCAATATCCTATAGTCTTAAAATTAGGTTTTATACCATATAGTTTAATTTGTTTGAAAAGAGTTTGCTCTAATTTGATATTAAAGGGATGCTACAGGCAACTAAAAATGTAAAAAGTGATAAAAACTTATTTTATTTATAATTACCCGATTAGTAATGAATCCGGTAATTATTAATACTAACCTGTCAATGTTAATATTAATCGCTTCTTTTGGACAAAGTGAGGAATATCGCAAATTATTTACTTTAACTAATTATTCTTAATAATAACTAATTAAGTTTGGTCAATGTGATTAAATGGTTAATTGGGACATGGGTGTGCCTCTTCGTATACGTGTTACGATTAAAGTGATAAATCCTGTTATTATAAATTCTAACCGCTTCTGTTGGCTTCTATTGACCAAAGTGAAAACTGAAAAAGGGAGATTTCGTATCGTGACCTGTGGTAGAATAATCGCCAAGTCTTGGAAACTTCCGGGCAACGGCCGACGAAAAACTGAAAAAGGAAAAGAAAAAAAAGAAAAAAAAGAAGAAGAAGAAGAAGAGAAAGACACCGCAGAAAGGGTACTTGTAGCCATCCCCGGGCAAATATGTAAAAAAAAAATTTCTCTATTTCTTTTTTTTTAATTTTCCCGTTTGAAATCAATTTGGCGCCTTGGCGATTGTAGTTGGAGTAGAAGTTTACGATACGGAAATATCCACAATAAAAACGCGAAGGAATGACATTGACCAAACTTCATTTCGTTATTATTAATATTGACCGGTTAGTATTAACCGACGATTCACATTGACCGTAACATATACATGAACTGAAAGTGAATAAGCAGAAATATGTTTTGAGTTGAAATTAAAATGAAAAGTAGAAAAAAGAAAAATTAAAACAGAAAAAAGTTGATAGAAAATTATTTATTGTTAAATTCAAATATTTTTAGTCAATGCGACATACTATTGCAAATTGTCAAAAATATACAATTTATTTATCATACAGTTATTAAAAAAGCATTGTTTTGAATTCTCTTTCTCCACAAGCATTTTAATCATATAATAAAAGATAAATAATAAAATAAAGTCACAACTCTGGTAAAAATAAAGTACTAACTCTCGGAAACCCTGTGACACTTCCAATAAACTTGAGGGTTCCGTGGAACACCATTTGGAACCCGTTGGTTTAAATAACAAATTATTTGTATAGGAATTAAAATTTTTCTGTCAAAAATATATGGAGTACTAAAGGGAAGTTTTGGCGATCACATGCCTTTAAAAATTGGCATCGTTTTTAGGAGGGAGCAAAAAACATGTTACAAATGTACTTATTTGATATCAATTACCAGTATCAAATACTAGTAGAACCTATTAACTCAGTTAATTGAACATTACTGGAGTCAGCTATCTATAGTTTATCAATTTTTTTAGAACTTTCCAAAATTGATAATTACCTAACAACGAAAATAGTGCCGGTCATTTTAAAAGCTTCAAATCTTTAAATAATAGTATTCGTATGTTTGTCTTTTAATTCTTTAACTCAGAAAAAGGTATGAAACAATTTATGAGTGCCCAGAGAGCCAGTATATAATACACATTTAGTACAAGTGAATCATCTAATCAATTATTTAATCATGCGAATATAACAAATAACTAAAAAATCAATATGAGAATTACACAAAGAATATGGCTCTAGTTAGGCGAATCTTCAAGATTTAATTGTGACGAAAAATCTAAATGTTTATTTCACGTGGAATGAATTATATTTAAATTGAAAACTTTGAACAAAACAGATTACATTTATTTCATAAGTTGCATATAAATTGAATGCGAGAACTTTTGTTTTTTCTAGCTCCCAAAATATAAACACTCGTTTTAAACAAAAGCCATGGTTAGAAAATAAAGTAACTTATATTTAATTATTTCTTTAAACATTTTTAACACCATGTATATTTTAAACTTTGCAAAATATTCACTAAAACTGTGCATTAAGCTATGAACCTATAATATTAATTCCCAAGAAACAGATGGAGCTTAACTTTCAAATCTTCCTTTACTTAAAATTTTCTAAATGTTTTTCTTTTAAATCTCCTAAGACTTAAGTATCAGTATTTGCTTTTATTTAATGCATAAATCAGTTGCTTCGACAAGTTATAAGATACCAGATTCTCTCACGAATTGGTAATGAATATGACCCTTAATTTTGGCGACGAAGCTAAATAAAGTTCATTTGTAGCTACGCTAAATTACATTAGAAACAGTTTCAAAGAAGAATATGGCATGCATGTAAACTGCATAAACAAATATTTAATAACTTAAATGGGTGAAGTTCAAAATAAACTGATACTATTTAGATGAACCATTAAAACTTAAATCATAGAGAAAACAAAATATTTAATTCGCCTGAGAATCAAAGCACTTAAAAAAGTTTCATTGACTTAAACAGATGAAATTTGTAAAAGTTATTAAATGTAGCGCGAAAATTTTGTTTACTCTTAAAATGAAACTAAATTATCTAAATAGAACCAATTGCATAAAAGCCATTGGTATCAAAAGCAAATGAATCATTGGTACTTAATAAACTCGCATTAATTATTTAGCAACTTAAAATTATGCAGCATAACTAAAGATATTACTTTAAGAACTTGAATTATTCTACTAGAACAAGTATTACAACTAATAGGCTAGAAATCGAATTATGTAATCCGAACAACTACGAATATAAAAGCATCGAAAACACAATTTTTTTATTTATCATTTTCCCTTCCTTTTTGCAAGTTGAAGGTTTTCGCTTTGCAGCTATTTATAAAATATAAAGATCTAATAGAAGTACCAAGAACGTAAGTAGAATAGTTTAATGTTATCTGTTTCGTTGATTTACATTTTCATAGTTAAGGTGTCAAATAGCTGAAAGCGTAATGGAAATTCAGAATTATAATTTAAATTACATCGTAATTTCCTTTTATATGGTCAAATTTTACTCTGTTAGTGACTCGTTATGCTTACAAAGTTTAAAAAAATTATTTTAGAAAGTTTAATGAAATTTGTAAGGAAGTAGTAATTAAAATAGAACCCTTAAAACTTACGCTTTCGTCAAATCTTGAACATTTTCACTAAAAAATTTCGCTCTGAAATTCTATACTTAAATCTTAAAAATTTGTTAGCAATTGATCGGATGTTATATTTAGAATGTATGACGCCATTATGAGACCATTTAAACGAATTTTGATTGGTTGGTATATCACATGATTAGTGCCATTATATAGAAGGGTTTAAATATATTTGTTATGAGGAATGTTTTCAAACATTCTGTTAAATGTTTTTGATTGGTTGGTATGTAACTAAGACCCTGAGAAAGTTTTGAATTGTCTATGCAATTTAATACCTTTTTTAATTGATTATGTATTTTATTCAAGAATCGTAATAATTTTAGTATTCAATATTTTAAGAATTAACGAAAAAGACTCTTTGTTGTCTTGATCGTACTGATGTTAATGAAAAGTAATATTTAAAATTTATTTTAAAGTAAATTAATTCATCGCTAATTATTTTATTAATTTTTTTTAATTCAAAAGTAAAAAATAGTAGTGCAGGGACCACACAAAACTTACAGCAGATTGGCACCAGAAATGATAAAGCAATTATGATTTCTTCAGGTTCAAACAGGTTCCTTATATACTAATATAGGTTCCCTATATAAGTTTCTAGCAACAGGTTTTTTTTCCTTCTTTTCTATGGAACTTTTGTAATAGTTCTAGAAAGTCGAATATATAAAATAGCTATAAATAAATGCGTCTAAATTGTGAAACTAAATAAAATTTAATTACACTGAACTAAGCCATCCCTATCATATTAAAATAAAATTTTGCGTTGTAATATTTAAAAAAAAATGCAAATTCTTTTGTATGTTATTAATATATCTGCTTTTTTTGAGAAAGTTGCGTATGTAACGTATATCTAACTCATATGTATGTGTATGTACTTCATATGTATGTGCATATTTATGTTTTCCGTATGTAGCGTCTTGTTTTAACGATCTGGTTACAAATGCTATTCTTATGAATTTACTAATACCCATTTTGATCAATTTTGAAACTAACAGATTTCAGCGTCTATCGTTCAAAAATTCTACCGAATCGACGGTTAAAAGAAATGTTGAAGCTAATTTGTTTTGAGAAGAAACACAATAACTCCTGATGCTAATAATGAAGAAAATGTGGATATGTTACAGTGTAGGTAAAACGCCTCAAACAAAGATTTGATTCTTATGCATCAGTAGATAAAAAAAAAACTAGAAATTTGCAGTGTTGTCAGTTTATGATATGGTTGTAGAAGCTGGAAGTGCAAAGTAATACCGTTGAAGAAAGCACACATTTGAGGAAGGCCACGTAGCCTGAAAAACAATGAAGAATGAACTTTTTGTATTCGCACAAACTTTCAGAAAATAAACAGCAAATTGAAACAAATGTCCAAAGTTTATTGTTTGTGCTGAGAAGAAAGAAAACCAAAAGTTCCAAATGCTCTAAATAAATAAATATATTTATTTATCCTTCTTTTACATCGTAAATAATTTTGAAACAAAAATGTTTTGATGCGCTAGGTAAATGTATTAATTTTCATCTCGCTTTCACCGTTTTCCCGTATGTATCGTTCGTAATGAATGGTATAACTGCGGTCCTGATCTACTTCACGCAGTTTGAACTTGCAGGAAACTTTATGCATTTTATGAGTTGGATCATTTTCCAGGATGACAACGCTACTTGTCATGTTGTGAGGTACACCATTGATTAGTAACATCTAATCAATGGTGTACCTCGGGGGACCGAATGACAATGGGGTTGACCGAATGAATCTAGACCAGAATCCTATAGAAAAATTTTGGGGCAAGTTGAATCCACATTAGGTTTGAGTATGCTTGCACGATTATCATTTAGAATTAAGTAATGGTAAATAAAATAAGGCAAATAATATCTAATCCCGTCTTCTAATAAATTTATAATATAGTTCGGATGCCATCTTTCTTTTTCTTTCACCCTGATAACAGCCTCATTGAAAATGTCACTTACGTGGTTCTTCCATGCATATGCAAAAATGAGAAGTTTATGAGGACGCCATAGATATAAGGGCATCCCCTATATTAGTCCCTATAGGACACTTTGCGCTTTGGACAAATTAGCACTTAACTTAGGTACGTCACAAAATGAAAATCAGATTAGTTTTCCATTACTGTCCTAATGGTTACAATTCTGCATTTAGAAAACGGCAAATTTTAAAAGAAATACCTTTTGATATAATTACTACAATTCTTTAAATTAATGGCTTAAGCTCTTAAATTTAATGGCTCAGTACAATTATTTAAAGTATAAAGGAATTATAGCTTCAACTTAAAGTCTATTTTTAAGAATAAAAGCCTTTAGCGTTTTTTGATAAAAACAAAACCCGACATTTTATTAACAGAATAAATATGTTTCTTTGCAAACGTTAATTGATTAACAAAAATAGCATAAAGGTAATCGAAAAACAAGGCACTAATGCATTAAAAATAACGTAATTTGACAAGCATAATAACTCCCTTCGAGTAACTTAGATAGAAATCAATTCAACTGGATTTCAAACTTTATGTGGCATTGCGTAACGTAGCTTTTCCCAAAACCATCTTTCTCCCCACTCAAGATACGTTCTCTTTGATATGGCATCTCGTAATTCTCTGTTTAATTCGTTCAAAGAAATAGACTTGTCAACCATGATGACGATGATTGGATTCATTTGTTCTTGCGAAATTGCCACTTTCAGTTCTACTTTAAACCATGGACTGGAAATAAACGATTCGGATAATACTATAATGGTTCTTCTACTGCTTCGTACAGATTTCACAATGGTTTCAGTTATAATTTCTCCAGGAATCCAATCTCTCTCGTGAATGCAAAGTTTAAAAAATGGCGCGTTCTGTTCCAATTCGTTTAGAAGATTCATAACTAGACGTTTATCAGAACTACTATAAGCAACAAAGGCATCGTATAATTTCTCCTCTAAATCGGCGACTTCAGGATAGAAGCAAAATAGTTTATTGCAGTGAACATACAAAAATGAGTGAATCAACTCTCGCTGCCTGATATATAAACCTACAGTAACAATAATAATTAAGAGTAAAATACAAAAGAATATGGTTAAAACTTTTTGTTTATATTTGGCAGTGATCTGTTGCGCACAAAGTTCTGGTTCTGACATTTCTATCAGAGGAGTTTCTACTACTTTCTCCTCAACTTTTTGATTACAAGTTATTTCTCTTACGTCTTTCACAACTTCTCCGTGTCCTAGTAAAAATTGTTTAAAAGTTTCACTTTCACAATCACAATTAATAGAATTCAGTCCAAAAAATAATTGAAAATCTTTTTGAGTTGGGATGAACTGGATCATATTATTCGATAAAGATTTCAGTCTGTTTCCTCTTACAGAAAGGAACAACAGATTTGGAGGGATGATCCATCCTTCTAATGTCCCCAAACGGTTGTTGTCAACCCACAGGTCAGTTAATTTCGTCCATTCATTCAGAGAGGAGAGGTTTATTAAGTTATTTTTATTAAAGTATAGAATACTAACTTCAAACTGAGGTTTTTTATCAGCTTCATGAAGCTCAAGGCCAGAACAGTTGACGAAAATCTTTCTATCTTTTCCACGAGAGCCACATGTGCAGAATCGTGGACAATAGTTTTTAAAAGTACAAGTGAAGTTATCGTCGTGCAAAAATTGAACCGAATGATTTTTCAATGGTTCAGGAATCGCGCATTTTATGTTTTCGGAATTAATTAAAGACAATAGTTTGTGTCGATTTGATTCAACTATGTATTGTTTCATGTGATACATTTCACAATCGCAGTTTATTGGATTGAAAGAAATGTCCAGTAAAATTCCGTGTGCAGCATTCAACGCATGTTCATCGTGATTTTTAATGTTTTTATCTTTCATAAATGATGTATCGAAAGTAGAAATGTTATTAAATGTTACAGAAATCGTGACAGTGTGGTTCACTTCTTGAAAATATGGATATTCTTTCAAAAAATTTGTATCGTAAATTTTATTGTAGTCTAATAATAACAATTCGAGAAGGGGCGATAGATGTGAAAGCGAAAAAAACGAAGTGATTTCATTATCAAACAAGATCAATACACGAATGTTTATTTTACCACTGATTAATACAGTCGCGATCTTGTTATGAGATGCATCGAGAATTTCCACAGATTTTCCGAAATCTAATTTTAATTCTTTAATTAGATTTGAACTGATATTTAGAATTTTTAAATTTTTCAAGTTTTTAAAGCACAATCTTCCAAAAATCTGAATTAGGTTATGCGAAAGATTTAAAATATGCAAATAATTTTCAGCAGAAAAACGATAGCACTTTCTTAAAAAATTGTGACTTAAATCCATGTAATACAGCGAACTATGATTTTTGAACATGTTATTAGGGAGTATGGTTATGATATTATTACTGAGATCTAAGTTACGAAGAGACTGAAGATGTTGTAAAAAATTACTATCGTGGATCTGCAGCTCACTCGTCGAATTCACCTCTTCGTTACTATCGTCTTCGTCCGTTTTGTCTTTCGAATTCGTTAGTGTCAACAAGTCGTTATGCGAAAGATTTAATGTTCTAAGATGATTCAGATCAGAAAACGTGTTAGGTGATATGCAAACGAGTTTATTACGTGATATATTCAGAGACGTCAAGTTTTTAAGTTTTTGAAAATGCCTTCTGTTTATCTCAGTCAGATTATTTGATGATAAATCTAACTTTCTCAAAGAATAAGAAGAGGAAAAAATATGATCCGGTAAAAATTGAAGTTGATTATGTGTCAGATATAACTTGCGCAAAGGGTTTGTGAAATGAATAGTACTGCTTGAAATATTTCCAGGAAATACGTTATGGTGAATATTTAGAGTAAAGAGTTGTGGATAAATATTCGTAAATATACTAACGTTTATGAAATGTGATAATTCTAACTTCTTTATATTATCTATTTCGAAAACATCTAGTAAATTCATTAATTTATATTTGGCGTGGTTGCTTTTCTCGCACTGCTCTTCACTGTTGTTATACGCTCTGTCTACGAACATGATTTCGTCTTCGCACTCGTAAGATATGACTTCTTTGAAGATTTCCCAGCCAAAGGGATTAGCAAATGTTATTTTAGATACATTTGTATCAACCATGCTTCTTCTGATTGAATACGGCTTCAGCCAGCATTTGCTCTGGCATCTGAGCAGAGATGTTGTTGGCGATAAAGACAAATTGCAGTCCACTCCTGATCCTTTGAATTTACATACGGATTTGGCTTCAGATAGCACAATTCCAAGCACAATTATATGATAAAATACCATGACTGAGAAGGTGCATTCAGAAATCTGAAATTGAGAGAGAACTATTCATGGAGTCCGTGTAAAAAGATTAAAAACAGACAAAAAAATAGAAAAGTAATTAATCGAGGTTGTATCTAAGATTGATACTTATAATATGCTGATAATAATACTCATAATATATTGATACTTACAATATTGGATACATTTTGTACAAATTTTATCATAAAAAATATAAATAGAATAATTTTCTTGTGTAAAGTTTTAAGAACAGCAGTAAATATTTTATATTAAGCTTTGAGGTGCCTAAGTTTCTTTATGTAACAGTGGAGAGTCATAAAGATCAGTAAAAAGCAAATGAACTTAATAGGTCTGAAAAGAACATTAAATTAAATTCATAATTTAAACTAGAAGAGGTACAGATCGTGCACCACTAATCTCCCAGCAGCTGCCAAAGCTTACAATAACAAGAATAGGAGAAGGTAGTATCTGTAATTGCCGACCAGGCTGTGTAGGGGGCAGGGAACTGTCCTTGCATCAGAAAGGTTCTGGGTTCGAATCCCGGGCAAGGCATGGATGTTTCTTTCCCTCCTGTGTTCTATGTCCTTTCTCCTTTGTGTGTGAATGTGACCCGCCCTATAAACGGGTTGTGGTAGTGTGACGTGGGCGACGCTGTTCCACCGCCGTGGCTTCGCCACAGGTGCCCACTGGGTAACGAAAAGAGAATTAGCAGTTCTGCCAATGGACAATAGCTCCAAGTGCCCGCCATTAAAAAAAAAAAAAAGATGTTTGCTTATTATTTGATCAAGAATAAAAGGTTTTAAATCCATACTATTCCGTCCGGGCCCTATTACCAGCTTCACGGAATCTGATTCCGATCGAAATGAAGGTCTCGTGACGTTATAAATCCGTGAATGTCAGTTAGGCCATATTACGAGGTCTTCATTCCGATCGGAACTAAATTCCGATGCGAAATAATTACGAATCCGATTCCGGCAGGCTTAGACCCAGCGAAATCTAGATTTCGGTAGGAGTTTGTTTATTATAGTGATTAAAATGGCGCTGTTTACTGTCATTACTACCGATCAAAGTCAATCTAAAAAAAATTTTTTGTAGTTGTTCTTAACGTGCAACACAAAATTTGATAATTTTTATTTAATTTTATTTAAAATAGGATATTTTTATAGCTTTCATAAATATAATTGTATTTCGATACTTAAATTGCGGCTTATTTTGTTTTAACTGATTGAGTTAAAAAGAAGAGCTTTTCGTTATATCCAGAAACATGATAACTTCTCTATTTCTTAATTTTATAACCGTCGTCGAACAGCCGACCTAATTTTTTGTTTGATGTTCAACTCCATAGTCTTGTAATTTTAAATCCAACCCAGAAGACAAGGAGAGTCCTGTATCAAGCATTGAGTGAAATTTGCCTCCGTGGAGGACTTTTTGATAGAACTAGCCCTCATTTCCGTTACATGGAGAGGAAAACCACGAAAACCTCCCACGGTTAGCCTGACCTCAAGGAGACTCCAGATCTTCTGAGCCACAAAGGCTAGGCCTGATTAATAATAAAAAATGATTGCTTATGAAAAAATAATTTCATTGAGATAATGATGAACATTATGGTTGAAATCCAATTACCGCCAAGCAATCTGAAAAACATTTTCGTAGTTTTTCTTCGCGTGTAACGCAAAATTTGATAATTTTAATTTCAACTTAATCATGGTTAAAATAAATTATTTTTGTAACTTTTATAAACATTGTGTTTCGCCGATACTTAAATTGCTAGTTACTTTGATTTTTGGGATGAGTTATAAATATAAATAAAAAAATATATAAAGAGCATTTCGTTATATTCACAAATATAATTGGCTGTCTGTCAAAGATGCTAAAAAATGATTCATTATATAAAAAAAACTTCATTACGAATCCTGAACATTAAGCTGAAACTCTTTAAGCGTCAAGCAATCTGAAAGATATTTTCGTGGTTTCCCTTTACGTGTAACGCAAAATATGATTGTTTTCTGTGAAAAAAATAAATAAATAAAAATTAAAAAAAAACATAAAGGCAGCAATGTTTAAATATTTACATAAATTATGAGTTATTTTATCTTTCTTCCTTGTTAAAACAAAACAAAATTAAGATCATTTGATTGAGGGCAATTCATTAGCAGGGTAGATAGCCTTTTGGGGACGTTAAGAAATGATTTGGCAGATTTCTTCATAATAAACGCTACGAATAATTATTGTGATGAAAAAGATTTTTAATTTCAATTCTCATAGGAAAATTTAACAAATTTACGGTTGCAAGACTTATATTTTTTAATGACTTATATTTTTTCTTTTTGACTTATATTTTTCTTATATTTCTTTTGTCACATAAAGCATTTTTAATTATAGCGATTTTGAAACAATAATAGTAAACTATTAAAATTCAAAGGGTTTAAGTTTTGAACTCGCTCTGTTAAATCATATATTTAAACATAAAAAAATGCTTATATATATGTCGGTAAGGGTTCCTTTATTTAAATCTGCATTGTTTTTTAGGAATGCTAATACAGCCGAATACTAATTTTTGTACGTGAAGCCATTTGAAAATACTACGTTGTAATTTTACTCTACACTACTCTCTATACTTCAAATAAACACACGCTTGGCTTAGAACACACAAAATTGTTGAAAATGTATGAATTTTTAAGCTTTCAGTTCTAAGTTAATGTGATTTTAGCTCGCATGGAAGAAGAGAAAACAAACATATCCTTCCAGATCAATAAATTAGAATTATAGTAATTTTCTAATTGGTCAAAGTTAGTCCCGCCTGTAATCTTCAATTTCACCGGAATCGTACGGAATGTCAATTTCGATTCCGGATTCCGATATGCTCATGTTACGAAAAAGTGGGTTTTACGAAATTGGCAATCCGATGAAACCTAGTCTCCTAGCGGAATCGTTTCCGAGCGGAATAAATTTCGGTGAGTTGGTAATAGGGCCCCAGTTGGCTATAGAAATAGCTTATCATAATTAGTTTCTACCTTAAAATAAATCAGTAATGCTATGATCAGAAATAAATAAATTAGTGTTACAATCTTAATTTATAAAAGTAACTTACTTACTGCTCTATATACATTCACTTACATACCCACACATGCGTCATGGCTAAAGATGGTCTCAATATCTATACGCATGTTATATAACAGGCATCTAAGCTTTAAATTATATCAACAATTAAATTTCAATTTAATGCACAATAAATACTTTTAAAGTATATTTATTTTTCTCACAATTTATAGAAATTAATATAAATTTTTCCAAAAACATTCCATGATTACCTTAAAAATTATTATGTTTTTGTCCTTAAGTATTCAAGCCTTTCGGGTATTCATGCAGTTAACCAAGCATACGTAACAAAATAGCTAATGTACAAAATATTTTTTAATAAATTCATTTTTATTAGAATAATGCCTTAAAATTCAAATGAATATATAATTCAAAAATTTCGGAGAATAAAACTGAAATACTATTTAACCTCATGTCACTTACCTCATGTTAGTGAAATTATAGCAGGCTCGAAGAAATATGCATCGTTAGAAGAAATTTGCATCGTTAGAAGAAATTTATGCATCCGTGAATAAATCATTGGGATATTTTGAATTTTTTTAAATGATCTTTTTCGTTTCGCTTTAAGTCCAAAAAAGCGGATATCCTTTATCCGTTACCGTTCAATCGTTTAGTTGCTATCAATCTCTTAGGATGAAGATGAAACTAAAAAGTTAATTTTTATTTCCTCTTCTCTATCTTTACGGATTATTAAACTAAAACTAAATGAGAGAGTCTTTCCTTTCTTGATATTATTAACTTTAAAAACGCTACATCAATTTATAGTACATTATTAATTTTCCTCTATTGAAAACCGCTGCTGTTTTGAGTGTTCAATTTAACGCTATATTATGTTTTACTGAGCAAGCAAAAAATGTAAGGCTTAATGTGGAGAGAGCACAATGAAATGAAAAAAAAAACTATTGATGATTATTTCGAGAATTATATATCACTTTTAATATGTAATAGAGAAATGTTTACATCACTTTTAATAAAGTAATAAAGCAAGAGCAAAGTTTCGTTGAAATATCGCTGAGATGACTGAGAATATGTCATCATTCAATTTAGTTTAGAATGAATGACAATCTTAAAATCAAACTATTTTTAGTCAATTAAAACACATTACACTAAGTAACTACACAGATGAACCGCCCATTGGGACACAAACCTTAAAAATTAAAAACAAAAATGAAGACGTATTTTTAACACAAAATTTTCTTAAATAATATCAGCTTAAGAATAGTTTCTAATCTGCAAAAAGAAAATGCATTAGCAAAAAAAATATTCTTATGTTTCTTAAATTGTGACACTTTTTTTTTTAATAAGAAGGTCAGGTATGCATTAAAAACGCTTACCTTTGTGTGGCTACCTAACAAATACACTTTCGTTGTATTTTAAGTTTTGAACTGTAGAGCATTATTTTAAGGTTAGAAAGATCCTGTTTTTTGTCATACTAAATCCCACATACAATTCAATCAAAATCAATTTAATCAGAAATCACGAAACTTTTTCTAAAAATAAAAACAAAATCAGGCCAAATAAAAGTGATAAAAAATTGACAAAGTTTTACGTCAACGCCACGGAATTAAAGGATGCATCAATTCTTGACCAATGACATTGTGGTGATGTGTATTGGCATTGTGATGATGCGTATGTCACCATTATGTATTAGAAGCAGTTTAAAAAAATTATAAAAATTAATATGAATAGTAAAATTTCGTTTGAAATTGTTAAATAAAAGTACAAATTTAATCATTTGGCTACCTCTAAACTAGCCTGTAATTCGGGTTGGCGATAACCGGGAAAAATTTAAAAGTTTGAAGAAAGATTTTAGATGGAGATTGTTATGGCTTGTCTTCCAAAACATATTTGTAAATTAAACAGAATTTCCTCTAAATGCTAAAATTAACTAATTTAATTTTTAAATTAAAGTTTTCAAATTTTCAATCTTTCATAAATCATTTACCATTAAGCATATTTTTCATATTTCTGGCCACGCTGAAGCATTAAAGCATATTCTTTATGAGAGAAAAACATTATCATTGATGAGTTGTATAAGAATAATGATATATTGCACTTAAAAATTCCTAACAAATTTTTTGTTATGTTGCCTAGTGGTAAAAGCAAGAGGATATTTAGTAGGCCCACTTGGTTAGTTCCCATTTATTAAATAACGTTTCGGACAGAAATTTCATAAAAATAATCTGCTGCATCATTTAAAAAAAGGGAGTTTTAAATCCCTCCACCGCGATAAGGTGGAACCTTTCGGGGGGGGGGGGTTGACAGTGTATGGCAACTAAGGTTCCCAAACCGTGTTGACTATGTGGAATCTAAGGTTCCCAAGCCATGTTTTGACATTGTGATGGGTTTCTAAGGTTCTCAAGCCGTGATTTGACATTGTGATGGGTATCTAAGGTTCCCAAGCTGTGTTTTGACATTGTGATGGGCATCTAAGGTTCCCAAGCCGTATTGACAATGTGTTGAGGCATCTAAGGCTTATTAAGCCATGTTAAAACTGTGGTAGGTATCTAAGGTTCCAAAACCGTATTTTGACATTGTGAAGGGCATCTGAGGTTCCCAAGCCGTGCTGACATAGTGTTGGGGCATCTAAAGCTTATCAAGCCATGTTAAAACTATGGTGGGCATCTAAGGTTCCCAAGTCATGTTGACATTGTGATGGGAAACTAAGGCTCCCAAGCCGTGTTTTGACATTGTGATGAGAAACTAAGCTTCCCAAGCCGTGTGTTGACGAGAATGTATGACGTCATTATGAGACCATTTAAACGAATTTTGATTGGTTGGTATATTACTAATATACTAAAAAAATTTTGAAAGGTCTATGGAATTTAATACATTTTTTAATTGATTATATATTTTATTCCAGTAAAGTAATTTTTTTAGTATTCAATATTTTAAGAATTAACGAAAATAAATTTCTTTGCTGTCTTAGATGACCGGAGCCATTTAAATGATAGAACTGATTTTAGGGAAAGGCAATATTTAAAATTTATTTTAAAGTAACTTAATTCATAGCTTATTGGTTTATTAGTTTTTTTCTTAATACAAAAGTAAAAAGCAGTAGTGCAGGGGCCACACAGAGAAACTTTTATTGGCACCAGAAATGCCGAAGATATTGTGATTATAGGTACTATTGGTATCATGGGAACAGGTTCCTTATATACTAGTACCTAATCTAAGTTTTTAGCAATAGGTTTTTCTCTTCTTTTTTTTACGGAACATGAAATATTTCCCTACAGTCGAATATCGAAAATACCAATAAATAAATACATATAAATATGAAAAAATTCTATATTAGCGTTGTTATATTTTTAAAAAATATATATATTATTGATATAAGCAAATTAAGCTTAAAAACATATTTTAATTTCTAATCTGAAATTGACTTTTTTTACTACTAAAGTACACGTACAAGAAAAAACCTTAGTCAATTATTAGAGAAGTTAAAAAAATTCATATATCAATTATTCTGTATTAATTGATTTATACTTATCGTTAGTTTTTTCAAAAAAAAAAAAATTGGGATATGTCACAGTGTATGTAAAACGCCACAAACAACAGATTTGATTCTTATGCATCAGTCGATAAAAAAAAAAAAAATTGAAACTTGCGGTGTTGTTTGTTCAAGATATGGTGGTAGAAGCTGAAGAAGTGCAAAGTGATACCGTTGAAGATAGCACTTAAAGCGCCCAATTGGAGCAAACATTTGAGGAAGGCCACGTAGCCTTAAAAACAATGAAGAACTTTTTGTGTTCGCACGAACTGACAATCTTTGTGCATTTTTTTTTTCAAAAAATTTTTATTAAAATATACGATTAATTAATAAACAACTTTTTTCGATATTTTAAACTGAAAATTATGAGAAAATGAACACATAAAGGTCCATTTAAAAAAAAAAAAAAAAGTTATTTATTTTTACTTTGAAATCATTAAAAATTTATTAATACACCCGAAAAAAGAGATAGTTAAAAAAATTAAACGAGTTTAGAACAATCGAACAAAGTAAATATTACAAATATACCAATGGGCAGACCTTCTAAAACCGCGTAGGGAGAACACTGAGTAAGAGTTGCTCGTATGTTATGATATTTAGAAAATATCAACTGCCAAAGATTTGTCATACAGAGAACTTTTTAACTTACTTATCTAAACCAGAAAATTTTAATTTTTAGTCAGTAGCCACTTTTTCCTAAAACCTAGTCTTCAACCACAACCTATATTGATAGGTCCTTTAAATTTAATAGCTATTAATAAATTTAATTTAATATATTTCTGCAAATATTTCTTCTTTGCTTTGATTATTTATTTATCTATTTTTTTTTTAAAAAAATCATATTAGAAATAATCTATGACTATAAAAAATTAATTCAACAATAAAAATAATATAAATACATGACAAAATTTAGTTATACATACTGACTTTAAAGAGCTTTATGTAAAAATATTTTTGGAGACAAAATGCATTTAATTACATTACTATTCTGAGATATGTTTAAAGAACTATCCTTCAACATGAATCTTTCCACCATAAATTGACGGATTCTGAAGGACCAAAAATCTAAAAGGTGACATTGGACATTTTAATGAAAATTCTGTTTTATAGAAACTCTTTTTACATTGATATACTTTTATAATTAAATGATTTTTAAAAAAGCGATGGGAAAAAGGGATCGGTTACTTATTTAAGTCACTGCTTTTATTTTCAGGTCTTTAATTTTAGGTGGGGTTTGAGGATTAGGTTTAAGAAAAAGTGGCTACTAAATCATTAGAGTCTATTCTACAAATTTTTTTTCTTTGCTTGGATGAAATTTTATTATTATTTTTTTTGAAAAAAAAAATTAATTTTAGAAATAATCTACAGCTATAAAAAATTAATTCAACAATAAAAACAAAATAAATATGTGTCAAAATTTAGTTAAACATACTGACTTTAAAGAACTTTATGTAAAAATATTTTAGGAGGCAAAATGCATTTAATTACATTACTATTCTGAGATATGTTTATTGTTAAAGGACTCTCCTTCAACATGAATTTTTTTACCACAGACTGATGGATTATGAAAGATCAAAAATTTGAAAGTTGACATTGGGCATTTCAATGAAAATTCTATCTTCCAGAGATTCTTTCTACAATGATGTACATTTACAATGAAACAATTTTTAAAAAAGCGATGGTAAAAAGTGACCGGTTACTTATTTAAGTCGTGACTTTTATTTTTAGGTCAATAATTATCTCTGTCAGATAACCATTTTATCCAATTATTCCATTAGTTGGAAAATATTCACAAAGACAAAGCATTAACATGGAAAAATATCTTCCAAAATTTATTACACTTCATAATGATACATACATAAATATTATTATGTGAACATTTAAGGAGTGAACTTTAAATTAAAAATAACTTGTGTTACTATTTAAAGTTATTGCAAAAACTTGTCACATATTTTCAACTGAAACATTTTCCCACCTCTTTGCACTTAATACTCTTTAATTATTTCTCATTTTGTATGTTCTGAATGACAGCAGCGTTACAATGAATATGCTTTACATACTATTGCAAATTAATAACATAAATTATAAGTATATAATAATTACCTTTAAAAATAACTAAAATTAGAAGAAAAATAAATTAAAGTGAACGACAATCTTTTTTCCCACCTTCAAATTGCTCTGTTAGTTGTAATGTGCTCGAAAGAGTACATAATTTTTCTTGAGAGAATGAATAATAATATTTACCAAACCAGTTTGTTACTGACATAGCAGACAAACGAGTTAACTAGATTTTCTAAGGGTGCACAAGAGATAGATTCTACTCCCCCTCCCCCAAACGAACCTCTTGAGAATTATGTGAATACTAATCCCTATTTAAGTTCTTATTTGATATTTTGGAATGTTTTTTTGTTTTTATTCATTAAAATATATTTTAAGGTACATACAGTCTGTGGCTAAATTATTAGGCACACTATAAGATTCTATGCAAAATCTTAATTATCAGGTGATAATATACAGCTTTATTGTTTTTACGCTGCTGAAACCGGTTTGCACTTGTTTACGTTTGTGCATCAATTGGTTAACATTGTAATGGAATACGTTAAAAATAAATATAAATAGGAAGTATGTAAGGAATCTCCTGAATAAAAACCCATTACATTTATGTTTAAATATAAAAGTATTGCATATAAACTGATGCAAAACATGTACTATTAAAAAACTACAGCGTGTCGAATAATTTGATCTAATTATTAGAATATAATATCTGATATAATATATATTCTATATTTATATAATATTTTGTCTAATTTATCCAATTGTCGAATTTGTATTATGCATCAACTAATTTAATCAATTGATACATGAACTTAAAGAAGTGCAAACCGGTTTCAGTCGCATAAAAACAATAAAGCTGCATAGTATCACCTCATAATTAAGATTATAGTAGTGTGTTGAATAATTTGACCAGGAACTGTTATTAACAAATTCTAATTTATAAGGATAAAAACATTTCTAATCTTTTAAAGTGATTGTAATAATTTTTGTTAAAAGTTTGACAATGTTTAAAAAATACTCAAATACTTAAAAATTAATAGGGAATAGTATTCATAAATTAATTCATATTTTAACATGAGGAAGAATTTAAACCCAAGACCCCTTAAAACAATAAAAACTTCGAAAACTAATTTCAATAAGTAAATAACAAAGCTACTTAACAATTTTATTTGTTGCAAAAAGGGCATTAAAAGTTTTTAAAAATCTTTAAATGTGGATTATTTTGAAAGGTACTGAATGTTATATCACAACCACTAGAGAATTATATGAGTACTAATCTTGATTTAAGTTCTCATTTGATATTTCGGAATGTTTTTTGTTTCTGCTCATTAAAATATATTTTAAGGAATAAAATATTATAATATAAAATATATTAAAATATAATAACATTAAAATATATTCACTAATTTTGTTAAAGTTAGACAATATTTAAAAAAAACAAACTAAAATACTTAAAAATAAATAAAGAATAGGTATTCATAAATTTATTCATATTTTAACATGAGGAAAAATTTAAATCCAAGACCCCTTAAAAAATAAAAACTCATTTCAATAAGTAAATAACTAAGCTATTTAACAATTTTATTTGTTGCAAAAAGGGCATTAAAAGTTTTTATAAATTTTTAATATGGATTATTTTGTAAGGTACTGAATGTTTTATCACAACCGCTAGAGAATAATGTGGATAACAATCCCAATTTAACTTCTTATTTAATATTTTGGAATGTTTTTTTCTTTCTACTCATAATAATATATTTTAAGGAATAAAATATAATATAAAATATATTCACTAATTTTGTTAAAGTTTGACAATGTTTAAAAGATATTAAAATACTTAAAAATAAATATGGAATAGGTATTCATAAATTAATTCATATTTTAACAAGGGAGAGGGAGGGAGAAGAATTTAAACCTAGGACCCCTTAAAATATTTTAATACATAAAATAGTTTTTACTAAATGGCACAGTAATGATTAAAAAAGCAAAATAGGCATATCAGAGAGGAAATAACTATTTGACATAGTGTCTGAGCTTCCAAAAGTTATCTGAAGAAATCTTAGAACTCAGTGATAAACAAGGAAAAGCTTAGTTTAAATGTATGTAGAAAATAAACATTCAACTCTTTTATAATTTAAAAAGCTCCCTTATAAAAATTAAGCACAAATTTTAAAAAAAAATGTTTTTATATACATTTTTTTGAGCAAACAATTACACAAACAAAAATAAATAATCAGTAAGCAATTTTTCCAGCACATAAAATAAACGAGACAAGTAATTCCAAAGAAAAGTATTTTCAATTGCCACAGACAAAAATAGTTTTCAAGAAATCAGGATCAGCTTAGATCTTAAAGCTGATAATCCAAACTTAGCAGATAATTAATTTAGACCTTAAAAAACAAATAATCACTTCCTTTCTCACTGATGAAAATCAACTCTTCCAAAAATTAGGATTTTGCTGCAGTCGCCGTTGAAAGTTCGTGTACCACTGCTGGACAGTGTTGAGGGGTACAAAGTTTTCAGAAGTATTCGGCAGTATTTGAGCAGGGGTTACGGCAAAGGAAGCTATGTAATTGACGAAGTTTTCAAGCATTTTATTCGTGAATTCAAGGAAAGAGTCCATATTGGAAGGAGTGCTTGTGGCAATAGGTGTCTGCAATTGAATTTGCTGCAAAGGTTCTACAGAGATCCCGATTTGCGCAACATGAGATATTGGCTGTATACCAAAAGGTGTAGTGATATTTGTGTCTGTAAAGAACAAAACTTTAATGATGAGTGATACTTAACAAAACCAAATTACATTCATTTTTAAAAGCTACAATCAAATTAATTTTTAATAAGAATATCAAGAAAGCAATTAATTTTTTAAATAAAGGAGTCATTCAAAATTTAAAAAGGTAGAAGCGGTAATGCACAAAAGAAAAAAAAATCTATTTTTATTGCCTTTCATTTTATAAATGACTTTTTATCAATTATACTAAAATGCAAAACAATATACTGAAAGGGGAAAAAAACTCTGAGTATTGTGATTTAGCTTAACAATTAGTATAATTTAATATCAATCAGTAAAGTAAGTTTTGTATCAATCATTTAGTATTCATTAGTAAAAGTTATAAAAAACAAACTATTTTTTAAAACTACAATCAAATTTATTTATAATAACAACATAAGAAAGTATTCAAATTTAAATGCTCATTAAATATGAGTCAATCAAACTTATTAAACGGAAAAGGTATAACAAAAAAAAAAAGAAAGATAAATGAAAGATAAAAGGTCATTTTTACAAATGACCTTTTATCCATCAAATTAAAATACAAAATAATGTACTGAAGTAAAAAAAGTTTTAAGGACTGTGATCTAACTTAGAGCTTGTTTATAATAATTGTTAAATTATACTAATATTTTTTCATTATCAACAATAAAATGAAAGCACTACTGAAAATTAAGAGCATATTGTACATTTGATTCAGAAAAAATTGGGCAGATACATACAGTTGTATAAGTTATAGGTTATAGAATCTATGTAATTACCAGCATAATAACATTTTCTGCTTGTATAAATTAATAAAAGTTCAAAAAAGTAAACTGCATTAAATTTTTTTACAACAACAATCAAATTCATTTATAATAAGAACATCAGAAAGTAATTAGTTTTTTAAATCAGGGTACTCATTAAGAAAAGTAAAATATTAGCGCAACAGCCTGCTGTGAGCCAGGGACTCATGGAGGTTAAGGCTACTCAATTTCTAGACCAATGGTGTGGTTGTGGTAATTTGGTCAGCATGACATAAATACAGTCTTTATTTCTTAGTACCTGCAGATCTGAATATAGGTGGACTTCAAGTCGCCACTGAGGATCCAAAGTCCAAGTAAACATTTTTTTTAAGTACTCTTTTTAATTCAAGTACTTTTTTAATATATTTTGATAAAAAAAAAGGAGGGGGGGGGGAATATCAAAGAATATTTTAGTTAAAAATGCATTGAATATTTTCTTGGAAAATAACTTTTTTGAGGTAAATTTTCATAACTAAGCACATTTTAAAACCTAGCAAATAATATAACATATTACAATGCTCTGATACATAAATTGTTTTCTATTAATAATTCACTACTTAAGACATTATAATTATGAAATAATAGATAACTTTAAAAATAAAATATATTTAATAAATACTTTATATTGTCAATACAAAATAAGTTAAAAATTTACGAGATTTGTTAATAAGTGCAGAGTAACAACTAACTCTTACTTTCAAGTATTACTAGAAAGCACTAGCAAAAAATTGTATGCATTTTTAAGTTATAAATAAATTTTATGCTCTTATAAATCTTATCTAATGGTTATCTAATAATGCAACTGCAGAAGCAGTTTAAAAATTACATAATAATTTTTAAATTGCTTTAGCAAAGATAAAATTTAATATTAATTTTAAAAAAACTTTTTCTTCAAAATAAAACATCCTTATCAAACACAAGTTATAAATTATGACATAAAAATTAATCTCTCCATCTATACAATTATTCTTGTGCTTCCTGGTTCTTTATTTAGTATCAAATGAACCACATTGATTATCCTTAACGAATAAGCTTTTCTCATGATAAATTCCTCAGTTAATAAATATCTAAATGCCTTCAAGTACTACCTACAACTTCAAAGGTAAGAGTTTATTTTATAATACATACTACTCCTGTAACTGACAGTAACATTTCTGGATGTAAGATAGGTTTGGTTTAATCTTCTTTTCTTAGAAAATAAATCTCTATAATATATGTGTGCTATTATTAAAAACAAAGTATTGTAATTAAATTTTATAATTTTATATCAAACTGTTTTGAATTTAATTTAAAGCATGTTGGTCCAATTTTATTTAAATTTTAGATTATAAAATTTCATGTCGCTTTGTTTCCAACTATTTGTCAAATTCCCATCTCTTCTTTTTTGATTATAACATATACTGGAAGAATATTCAGACCTCAGTTCTTAAGAAGATAACTTATTTTAAATTCAGAAAAGCATTATTTTAATTTTAAACAACAGCAGGTTTTGTTAGGAAATTAACATAACATATGAAGCATAATATGAATATAGATTTTTTTTAAAAAATGATCACTTGATTCAATAATTTGGTAATATGATTTAACCAAATATATTACCAAACTTTTTTAAAAAGATAACCAGTGAAAAACAATATTATTTCAATAAATTGAAAGAAAAAAACACCAATTTTTGAAACCATATAAAAATATAAATAGCCAATCATTAGTAAATATACAAACCTGATTTTAGCTTTGATATTTTAAAAATTGCACTTGGTTTTGCATTTGAAACGAAACCTAGAAATTGCCAAGTTGGAGCTGCTGTAGGATCTGGCCAACTAAAGTACACTGAAAATAATAATTTATATCTATAATTATTTCAGTTAATAATTGTTTCAGTTTTCTTGCTAATATAAATACTTGCTAATTTTTACATGACCATTATGAAAATGAATAATGATAAAAATCTAATTAAATATCTTTGCATTACATGTTTGTTTGAATTTCTCTTACCAGAATTCTACAAAAAAAAAAAGGAGTTAGGACTATAACTTTTGAATTTTTTAAAAGGCATTCATATCAAAACCAATTTCTTCTCCATCCAGTCCATGAAAAGATAAGGAAAGATTGAAGAGAATTGTCAGACAAAAAACATTTTATGTATGTCTAGAATTTTTAAAGGCTTTGAATAACACATTGCTAAGCATAACTTTCATAGATTAACAAACAGGTAGAATTCTATATAAGAATGTTCTTATGAACACTTGGAGTGATAAAACACAAGATACACAAAACAGTATCAAACACAGACAGAAACACAAAAGAAATATCCTAAGTTTGAGAATAATTCTAAAAAAAAGCAATAAGCTTGCAAAAATTAAAAATGTTAAGAATTAAAAATTTATTAAAAAAATTATTAAATCTTAAAATCAGAGATGCCAACTGCTCCGGACAAGCAAAAATAATTAAAAACACGGTAAATGACTATAAGCTAAATTCTGCAAAAATTTTACTATTTATGCTTGCATTTTATAAGGTACATCATGACATAAGTAATACAAAGTGGTGAATTATATAAGCTTACGAATTATTTAGAAATAGTGGTGGATAAAAATCTACTAAATTAAATTTTTAAACCAAGAATTACAGTTGATAAACTACCACTTTGAAATTTATATTTGCTGTCCGAAGCAAGTTGGCATCTCTGTAAAATTATTCTTAGCAGACGGATGAAAATTATACAATTAAAACTAGAAATAAAAACTCAAAATTTTAAGGAAACAGAAAATAACTTAAGATATTTGTACAAGATTCAGAAGCTAATTTTTTTAATCAAATTTTAATATTGATGTCTACAATTAATAGAATATTTTATAAAATAGAATCAAACATTTGAAGTGTACAACTCGCTGATAGTTGTTAATACAAGAGCACATAACACTAGAACTGTCAAATTATTAACTAATCACAGAAGACAACAGAAATTTTTTATAAATTTAGCTTTCACTTATACTTTGAAAAATCAGTTTAAGAAGAAATATGAAGAATGCACTAAGCATAAGAAAATATATAATATTCATTAATACAAAATAATATTAATTAATACTAAAAATACATAGTTATGGCAAAATTATTACATATACACATATATTACGTGCAGAAATGGAAACTTATATGAGCAAGTTACGCCAATCTAGATAATAGCACATAGTTAGAAAATAGTGATATATCACTATTTTCGGGATGTTCCGTTTTTTATGCAGTGTATATATACACTGCATAAAAAACGGAACATCCCGAATAATTTTTGTTCAAATGATCAGATTTTCTGGTACAAGATTCAATTTTAATGATCCAAGGGTCAAAGCTTTAATATGCTAATTAATTAGTTCAGACACTATTTTAAATTGAAGAATCGAATTTTTAAAACTATTTCAAAATTCATATAGCACACTTCTATTGTTTCTTCATTTGTACAGCAAAATTCTAACATTACAAAATTGAAATTATAATAAGCCTAAATTTTTGTTATATTAGCATAGCTTAAGACAGACAGTTTTAAACCCACAATAGTCCTAAGATCTCTAAATAAGGTCCTGATTATTCTCATACATTCATACACAATTATTCTTTTATCATTCGTTATCAGAAAATTTCGCTTTATCAAAACTATAGAACAGTGTAGAGAAAAATTCCTTTAGCTTTACCTGCATATGAGTAAGAGTAGCAATAAATTAGAGTGGATTAAAAATAAATTAATTAATTTGAAGCAAAGAATTACAAGAGTTATAACGATTTTTTAAGCAAAGGTTAAATCAAAGGTATTAACAACATGAATAAATAAAAGAAACTCTATAAAAATTAATTTACCTGATCCCCCTAATCCATCAGGGAAAGGTTGAACACCAGTTAAAAACACCACTATGTGATTAACATTGTCAGCATCAACAATATTTGTAACAAACTTTGTACTATCAATAGCCTGGAAATCAGTCTGAACCTAGAAAATGTGAAAAAGTAAGAAAAAAATATTAGTAAAAATGACACTTGAAAAATTTATTTCGATCAATTAATAGCACCAGAGTAGGATATTTATTATTGATTTTGAAATGAGTAAATACATCCAATATTTATTTAATTAGAATTGAAATCTTATTATATATGAATAAATTAGATAAGCAGGCAGAAGAAATACTTTAATATTCCGATTAGTTTTCAGTTATATATATATATATATATATAATAAAAAAGGAAAATCATGTATAATTATTTATTGTTAAAGAGATACATAGTAAACACTTAAAAGGTACAAGTTTTCCTTTTTTAAGAAAGTAATATGTAAACAAATCAACTGCAAAGGATAGAAAAAATATTAATAGGTAATTATCATATCAAAATTTCTTGGTGCTTACATAATTTGTTACTTTGATTAACAAAATCATTGAATCCGACACAATATCAATAATGAGTAAAAGCATATGCTTCTGACTACAATTCATGAAATACTTAACAGAAGTACAGATATAAAAAAAATCTAAGAACCAATTAAAATCGAATATGAAAAATCATTTCTTGTAAAATCTTAGTTTCATGTGGCAAAATATTATTTGCAAGACAAGGTTAATAATTTTGAAGAACAAAAGTTAAAAAAACGGAAAACTTCAAACATATACTGTAAACGCAAAAAAGGAATATGCTACATAAATCACTTTAACTAAGAATTTAAACGTAATACATTTATTTAAAAAAAAGAAGAGTAAGAGAATGATTTCTTTGTATATTATAGTCTACATCATTATGTTTAGCAAGAAATAAAAAAACAATGCAGATAAGGACCTATTATAGGGTAAAACTCGTAATCAGGGGAGATATCCTTATTCCTGATCTGTGGCAGAATAATCGCCAAGACTTCTGGGCCTAGGTCTACGAGAGAAAAAAAAACATCATAGAAAGGGACCAACTCGAAATTTATAACTCGTAGCCGACTACGGGTAAACATATACAGATTTTTTTTAAAAAATTTGCAAGTTAACTACTATTACTTGCAAATTTTTACAAGTACTAGTTGGCACCTTGCCGATCGCGTTGGTGCAACAGATCAAGATATGGAAATATCCTTTCGTAATCACTTGTGGGCATATTCTTTTGTTTAGTTTGAAAACACTTTGGTGCATTGCAAAGGTAGTAGCCGTTAACAGATTCTAATACTAAAATATCTTACAAGAAGGTCAGCTGAAAATTTACAACAGAATACGTCTATTATTTTGGAATTTTTCTTAAGTTCGTAACAAAAACAGAGAAAACTACTTAAATGGAAGGGGGAGATTTATAAGAAACCAGAATAAAAATAAGAAGAAAATGGAAGATTTCATGTACAGAAAAAGCTTTTAGTTACAGTGCCCAATCGAAGAGATAGTACCCTATTCAACTTTATAACAGAAGATTTAAAACGAAAGATAAAAAAAAAAAGAAATTAAAACCTAATCATCAAAGCTGCAACAAGAGAGCAGTCAATTTTCCTGTTTCAATAATCCTAACAATTCTCAATCACAAAATACATTAAATGAACTTTTTTTAATTCTCTTTAGGACTAGATGACACTGGTGATCAAATGTTACACCAAAAAACAATTACCATAAACATTTTAGTAATTTTATTTAATAAAATAGGAAAAAATGCAATCTGCACATTCAATTTAAAGAGAATAAATCAATTTATTAATACAGGATGTAAAAATAAGAAGGTTGTAAGTCATTTTAGAAGAGAAGAACTTTCAAACAATGAATCTACAAGAACTGTATCTTAAAATTTACCAATTAATTGTACTAACCAATCTACCAGCAACAATCACAGCAAACATCGGCGCCGCCATCAGTAAAAATAAATCAAATCTAGTAGTTTCAATATATTTATCTTCTCAGTAAGCTGAGATAGGAAACGAAAACACTTTGTTTACAAATATTATGATATCGGTCCCAGTTAAAGTTAAAAACAGTACTTCTAGTTTGAAACTAAATGATTATTCTTTTTAAGGAGCGATTTTCACTGCATATGGAAAAAAAATTTCATGAATTGCTTCTTCAATATAAACGAGATCTGATTGGCTTTAGCTTACGCGGGTAAATAAATTTCATTAAAGGTTGTTTTTCGAAGGCTCTTTCGTGATATGAAATGATGCTATTTAGCGAATAACATGCCTTTTTTATAACTGCTGTGATTTTGAAACAGTTACTCATGATTATTACGTAGAGTTCAGCTTATCTAAAGCCAGCGGGGTCTACGCTTATTTTGAAAATAGCGCAAAACGTCAAAAACCACAGTTTTGTGAAAATGAAAAACGAATGTTGTCTAATATCTAAAAACTTACCTCAATGCTATATTACCTGGGCTGATAAAAATTTGCAAAATCTGAGAATAACCCAATAATTTTGATAATTTTCATCTAGATGAGAAAATGTCGCCAAATTGGCAATTTTTAAAAAACTTTAATAAATTTTAAAATATTTCTGTTATTTGTCTATTCTAAAGCCCAGATAATACTTTATTCAGAATATATATATTTCAAAATCATCGCGTCCCGCAGTGGACTGATCGTTAAAACACGGTTCCCAGCAGATCACCGAAGTCAAGCATCACTGGCTGCGGTCAGTGTGCGGGTGGGTGACCACTTGGATCAGTCTGCGTAGGGACCGAGGGTGTGCGGTATGGGTCCTCGTTAAACTGTGCTTCCGTAAAGTTCTCGACTTCGCGCGCAGGTCGTCGGGCTACCGAAGCGGGGTTGCCATCCTCTCCGCAGAGGATCAAAATTGTGATGGCATGTCTTCGGATCATCCTCCGGGATGTTTCCCAGACCGTCGCCAATAGCCCATTGTGCAGCTCTAGTGCGACGTAAATTAACAACAACAATCAAAATCACCGTACAGCTTCAAGTGTAAGACACTTTAACTATGGCTTTCTCATTTTCCTTGGCGACAGAGCTTCGAAAAACAATGTAAAGGTCCACTGTGAGTAAATGAATTTTTTCGCGATCGAAAATTTCCCACCGAACAAAAGTCTGATTGGTGAATTTTTCGCGGGTTAATATTTTTCCTCAATCTGCTTCTAAAGGAGCATTCACATCGATGGCGGTTTCCGTACCACCGATTACCATTGTGAGAAAAATGGAATGTTATTGAGTTTTTCGCTGGAAAATATATTTCACCAATCAAGTTCTCATATCTATGCAAAGGTGATCGGTGTGAATGCTCCTTAATACGCATGATAAAAAAAATCTATAGCAATGAGAAAAGCTTTTGAATAAGGTTCTTATGCGCACCTTTTCCATCCATTACCACAGACTACAAAAAACATATTCGAAACACGAAATGATTTTCATTCATGAATGAGATCATTTTTAGATATCTTTATCGTACAAGATACCTTAATGAATAAATTTTTTAAAATATTATAAATTACATTAGCATTTATTTAAAATAATGATCTTTAATATCAGTGATTTTTAATTTACTTATATAATAAGAAATACATTTTATTTTTTAAAAAGCAAACAAGATTACAAAATTTTCGGGACGTTTAAATTTTTTTTTTAAAAAATAATGCATTAAACAATTTAATTAAGAAGCCTATGATTCAAATTAATGTATTATTAATAATACATTAATCAATTCAAAAGCTTTCATCACTGTTCTTTAAGGGTACAAAGGACGTTTAAAAAATTGTTTTATTGAGCTAAAGCAATCCAAGTATGAGTTTTATACCATATGACACCTTTTTTAGGAGATGCCTTAAAAGATTACTTGAATTTTTTTTCTTCCCATGTTGAAGAAACCCGGATAACTGACCTGTTTTAAAAAACTGGTCCACCGGCCTGATCATATTAGAAAGGCCTGGCATCATATTAGAAAGATCTCGGGTCCAAATCCCTTTTCAGGCATGGGGATGTAATTTCTTCCTCTCTGTTCTACATTTCTTTCATGTCTTATTGTGACGACGGTGATCCACTTTTACGGTGATTACGACTTTTATTTCTTAGTCCATTAATTAAGTAAGAAAAAAATAACATTGAAAATATCTGACAATATGTGAAGTCAAAGTCATTAAACTTAGAATATTTAATAAATATGTATGCTAGTTTTAACCTTATTCCAGAAAATTATTAATGTCAATAATCAATTTAAAGTAAATAAAAATTAAAGAAAATAACAAAAATAGCACTCTAGCAATATCGTTTAATGTCATTTTCCCTGTTGTCTTCGCTGCTATATCTCTGAAAGCAATACTGATTTATAAGGCTTTTTAGATAAACAGATTACACTCATTTACCTGAAGGCGATTTCTTAAAAAAAGTCATTATAATTAATATTTTGAAAAATATACCTTTTCGTGTTAATACAAAAATGTTTGGTATTATAATACTAATTTAAACACGTTCAAAATTTGAATAAAACGGAGTGACTGGAAGAGGGGAGCAAACACAAGCTGTACGTTAGATAAGGACACGTGACACCTTCGTTGTCGAACACATGATATCGCTTGCAGAGATTGTTCTCTACAGATTGCGCCAATAAAACAGATTAAGTGGTAATAAGCTGAATATTATCATTCATATACTCCTGCAGAAAATGTGACGTTCACTCTTGACAATAACATATTGTGTATTGAAATAAACTTTTATAACGTTTTTACTTAAACTTAATCTTTTCGAGTCATAAATGTATTCGTACGAACTAATTTGGCAAACTAAATTATGCTTTCACTTTAAATCGAACACGTCCGATCTCAATGTGCTAAAAGTGTAACTATACAGTTTGTAATTCGAACTAAGTAGTGGTGAAGTAAATAAAGCAAACTATCATTTCCCCACCCACAAATAAACTGCTATAAAAATAGTTTGTCTACCAGTTTTATCTTTTTAACCTGATAATGCATATTATATGACTCACCCGTCTTGAAGATGTTGAGGTCATGGCTTTGAAAAAGTTTCTGGATACGGAAATGGCATGCCATGCGGTCATGTTGTTTTTGATGCTCTGATGTGATGTGGAAAAACAATTTATGCTTTTAGGAGGTCGTAGAACTGTCGGATTTTCATTGGTGTCTTTTGAGTGAGTAATACCTATTTCATACTCTTGCAATCATGTATGTTTTCCAATTCTGAGTTAACTTAAGAGTATAAGTAGATGCAAGTTAAGTTAAACGATTCTGCCCGATATAGTAGCTTTCAATTTACGTTAACATCACTGCTGAAATTAATATTTGCAATCACGCAACAATGGCTACGTATCACCACCACGGACGTGGCGGAAAGCGGCTGACCGAAAGACCTGCACGTGGCTCAACGTCGGATGAGGAATGCTCGGATTTTGAAACCAAAATGGCTAAAGAGTTAGCAGACATGGAAAGAAGAATTAAAGAAGATGAAAGGAAAAATAAAGAACTACTTGAGAAACTAAATCAATTGGAGCAGTTTCTCATGCCTGTGCCAAATAGGCCCGAAATACCGACAACACCAATTGATGTCATTGATATGAAAACTTATGAAGGCGGCCAACTTTTGAAACAGACGGGGAATGAGTCAACCACAGATTCAGAAAGCTCAATCAAAAATATTGCAGAACCCCCTTTAAAGAAGAAGAAAAAGAAAAATAATGTCAAAAAAGCTGAAGCAAATCTAATCATGACCACGAATAGTAAACTTTTTTCACCGATAGATACCGCCACCTCCTTACAACCATCTGAATCTATATCTGATACTGAC